CGATCTGCCAGTCTTCATGCATCACCTCGATCTGCCAGTCTTTGCGCATCACCGCGGTCTGCCAGTCTTCGCGCATCACCTCGGTCTGCCAGTCTTCGCGCATCTCCTCGATCTGCCAGTCTTTGCGCATCACCGCGGTCTGCCAGTCTTCGCGCATCACCTCGGTCTGCCAGTCTTCCCGCATCTCCTCGGCCTCCCTCAGACGTCGTGATAATTTCATAAATAATTTCACAATGTCATTTGTGGTAAAGGATTAGTTCACTTTCAAATTGTTGTGTTATTTCGCCTTTAATGAACCAATAAGCCTTATATATACACTTTATTCCCCATCTGTAGCTGTCATGAATAAATACAGCCCTTACCCCTTATCGATGGGAGGTGTAATGGCTTCTCTTCTTCTCCATTTCTGCTTTCTTCTTCGCAGCCCGAAGCTGTCCTCTCTGCATTGACTCTAAAAGAAAATCAGTAATAGGAATTTCCAGTTTAATCCTCTGATTCAGTTGTCTAATATGTGGAGTTTGACCGGGAAATTGAATAATTCCCACTTCAAAATTAAAATTTCCTGATAATTTACTCACCCCCATGTCATCCAAGATGTTTACGTCTTTCTTTCTTCAGTTGAAAAGAAATTAAGGTTTTTGATGAAAACATTCCAAGATTATTCTCCTTATAGTGGACTTCAACGGCTACCAAACGGTCGAAGGTCAAAATGACAGTGTGTCATTGAACATACAACAACTTTTGAACGGTCCTCCTTCTCCAGATTTATAAACACTGACTAAGTTGGTACTTCCGCCTACGTCAAGCGTGACCTTTTCAAAGTGATTACCTATTACGTGAAGTCATGGACGTGCATTATATAGCATATACATTTATTTATTTATTTTTGTAGAAAATGACCTGATCGTTTCGCTAGATAAGACCCTTATTCCTCGTCTGGTGTAGAGCCCTTTGAAGCTGCGCTGAAGCTGAAATTTTTACCTTCGACTGTTTGGTAGCCGTTGAAGTCCACTATAAGGAGAATAATCCTGGAATGTTTTCATCAAAAACCTTAATTTCTTTTCGACTGTAGAAAGACATAAACATCTTGGATGACATGGGGGTGAGTAAATTATCAGGAAATTTTAATTTGAAAGTGAACTAATCCTTTCATTTTAAAACATGTCTATTATGGCATAATTCCTTACATAAATCAGTAAGTGGGAGATTACAAAGAAGCAGCTGTTTGTTCTTGTAATTATTATAAAGTTTTCAACAATGAGGCATATTTCTGATTTCCTTCAATTCCATAATGCGGCTTAATGACAATTTAAACACAAAAAACACCTTTTAATACCAGATGAGAAGATGTTTTGGAGTGAAATACTTTTTGATGAATATCATTGTAATAACTGTGTTTGCTTTTGCTATTAGCAGGTATAACAAACAGTGATGGTGATGATGGTGGTAATGAAGTGAGGATTGTGCTGCTGGGAAAGACGGGTGTTGGGAAAAGTGCAACGGGAAACACAATACTGAGAAGAGAAGCTTTTAAATCAAAAGTTGCTCCATGCTCAGAGACCAGAGAGTGTCAGAAAGAAATGACTGAGTTCAACAGAAGACGGATAACTGTGATCCACACTCCAGGCCTGTTTGATACTGGAGTTGATAATGTTGAGACCAGGAAGGAGATTGTGAAGTGTGTTTCAATGGCAGCACCTGGACCACATGTGTTTCTGCTGGTGATTCAACTGGGACGATTCACTCAAGAGGAGATAGATGCAGTGAAGATGATCCAGGACATGTTTGGAGACAAATCCAGAATGTATACCATGGTGCTCTTCACCAGAGGAGATGATCTTAGAGGAAAAAGAATTCAAGAATTTATTGAAGATGACGAAAACTTACAGTACCTCATCCATCAGTGTGGAAAGAGATACCATGTGTTCAATAACAAAGACACTAAAGATCAGACGCAGGTTTCTGAGCTGCTGGATAAGATTGACTGTATGGTAGCAGTAAATGGAGGGAGTTTCTACACCAATGAGACATTCCAGCAGGTGGAGAAGAACATCAGAGAGGAACAAGAGAGAATCATGAAAGAGAAAGAAGAGGAGATCAAGAGAAGAGAAGAAGAGCTGAAAGCCAAATATGAAGATGAAAAAGAACTAATGAAAAAAGAAAAGGAGAGAGAAAAACAAGAGATGCAGAATGAACTGAGAAAAAGTGAGGAAGAATTCAAAAAGAGAGAAGAAGAGATCAAGAAAGAAACAGATGAAAATCTACGAAAAGAGCTACAGAGAAAACTGGAGGAGAAACAGAAACTACATGAAGAAGAAAATAAAATAGAAGAAAAGGCTTTGGGAGAACAACAACTAAACTTCATAAAATACCTGGAAGAAAAACATAAGAAAGAAAAACAAAAACTCAGGGAGAAAAATCAGCGTGAAACAAGGGAACAAGCAGAGCGTGAATATCTCATAAAACTTGAGAGAGAAGTAGATAATGCTTTACAAGAGTACAACAGAGAAAACACTGAAGCTTTTCACGATGAACAAGTACAACCCTCTTGTGACTATAGTTTCTACACCAATGAGATGTTACAGCAGATGGTAACGAACATCAGAGAGAGACAGGAGAGAATCATAAAAGAGAAAGAAGAAGAGACCATGAGAAGAGAAGAAGAGCTGACAGCCAAATATGAAGCAGAAATAGAAGAAATGAAGAAAAAAAATGAGAGAGAAAGACAAGAGATGCAGAATGAACTGAGAAAAATTGAAGACAAATTAATAAATAAAGAAAAAGAGATAAAGGAAGAAAAAGATGAAAAGCTACAAAAAGAGCTGCAGAGAAAACTAGAGGAACAGAAGAAACTATATGAAGAGGAGAAGGAAAACAGGAAGAAAAACATGGAAGAAAAACATCAGGAGAGCATTCTACTTGGAACAAGGGAACTAACAAAAGAAGAGGCATTGCAGAAATGTTTACTAGAAATAGGAGACAGCCTTGACGGTTACCTTGAACTACAATCATTATTGGAACAAGTTCATGGCTGTCGGCACTATAGAGATTTTATTGGAGCAGCTGCTGGACGTGTTGTTGGATCTTTTCAAAACATTGTGTATTGGATTATCGGCTCACGTTCTCAACGTTAAACTCAAAAGCAAACTCAAGTGTGAATTCAGATCAACTGGAACAAATCATAATTGTGCTTACTTTTGATCCTGGTTCTGCATGACATCTCAGCACGTATAGGAGAATCACCTCACAGACAGACCTGTACCCTTTCAAAAATGTACTCTTGCGAGAATGAGCAAGGACACCATGTTTTATTTTCCTTACTCATTCATTTAAGGCATACGGCCTAATAAGACAGAGCTTGTGTTCAGTGTTTCAATTAGTAGATGCTTTAGCATTTAATGACATAAAATGCACTTCATACATCATATGTAGCGCTTTTTACCCTTTCCTTTCTAGGTAGATAAGAGAGCGCCCTGGGTTCGTATTAATAAACTTGGTAGTGGTGAGTTAATTGTGATAATTTACTCACTGTAACTTATTTTTGTGTAACTTTGTTTGTAAGATCTTTCCTTGGGTCCCCTAAGATTAAATTGCTTTCACATACTCAATAAAAAAAATGGGAGTGTAGTGTTTCTCTTGTTGCTAAAATAATGGTTTTACTAATAAGTAGTCTAAATATATAAAACCCCTTTTGTTTAACTCGAATTAATACACATAACACACTCAAGTATAATGAAATTAACAATTTACTTAAATGAATGTAAAATAATCAAGTTTCAGGGTTTTCACAATGTAAAATAAAATAATTAGGTAAATAAACAATAGGAATTTCACAAATTCACAGATAAATCCCAAAAAATATAAATTTACCACTTTTCACATATTTTAAAAGTAAACATATTATGCCCCTTTTTACAATATGTAATATAAGTCTCTGGGGTCCCCAGAATGTGTCTGTGAAGTTTCAGCTCAAAATACTCCACAGATCATTTATTATATAATTTTGAAAATGCCTATTTTGAGTGGAAGCAGAAACATGCTGTTTTTCGGACCTGTGTCTTTAAATGCAAATGAGCTGCTGCTCCCCGCCCCCTTTTCCAGAATAGAGCTGCGACCTGCTAAAAACATCTGTTTTGGTTCTAA